TTTTTCTATAATTAACTCACTAGAATATAATCCATACAAATATTCACTCAGAATCAAATTAATAACAGATAACCTTCCTACAATGCAAAATCTTTCAATTCGCTATCCTCATCTTTACTCAACACCAAATTGTACAAGATGTTAAAATTTTGAGAATAATTTACATCTTCTCTCTTGTTCATCTAGCCTCAATAATATTCATAACTCACTAAAAAATATTCTTTTAGATTTACTATCAAATTTTAAACTGAATCAATCTTCTTTACAACAAATATTAGATATTCTTTTAAAACCTCCAATATATCATTCAAATAATATTTACCTTTTAGTCTTTCATGTTATCATCGGCTACTACCCACTAACTACTTTTGACGATCTTAAAATTATTTTACATAACAAAACAGAAATATTTCTTACAGATCTATCAAACCATACTTTAGATTGGTTCCATCAAAGTATTTGGTTACCAAGAAATATTCATCAACACCAATGGGAATTATCTCGAAACATAACTTCAAAATCTAAAAGGAAAAAATTCTCTTTTCCAACTCTACTTGAACCAAAATTACCTCAAACAACCCAATCACAACCAATGCCAGATACTTCTGATTTTATAAAAAACTGGCTATTATATGGCTTTTCTCTTTCTACATGTATTTTATAATGTCAAGACCAACACCTTAAGGTTTTCTCCTAACCTATCCCTTGCTTAAAACTAATTTGAAATAATTATTTTAATCTTTCTGGGAAATAGGGGGTGTAATGTCACATTGGGTGTCTTAAATGTAGCACAAATGTCTTAGAAATCTTAAATATTGTACATAGACTTAACTCTATAATTTCAATTAATAAAGTTTCCATTTTGGCGTTATAAAAAAAAAAAAAAAAAAAAAAAAAAATTACTTCATAATGATCCAGGTCTATAGAATATATGTAATTAAAGTAAATTACTAAAGTCTCATAGAATGCATGCAATGAAAGATAAAGATTGCTAAGGCCTATAGAATTATGCAAAAGAGAAAGAATGATAATGCATGTTGTAGAAAATTAAACATTATAATTACTAATAAACTAGAAAAGAGAGCTCTTGTCTTTAAATTAATATAAAAAGCTACGGATTTATCTTTTGCTATCTAAATAAAAATTAAATAAAATTTTAATAAATACTTTTTTTTTTCTTGTATTTCTTCTGAATTAAAGAAATTTTTTTTATTCTCCACTGCTAATTTGACCAAATTGAAATCTCTTTAAACTAATCTTTAAATATACGATATATTTGTAGGATAATAAGCTTAAATACAAAATTACCCTAAATAAAATTTCCAATTTATAGTAACTATGGATTATAATAGTGAATATATTTCTGATAATAATCCCAATACTGACTCTTATCTTGACCCATATAATGATCCATATAATAACCTATATACTGACTCATATATCGATTCTAATAATGAATCTGATATTGAATCTCAAGATACTAATGAACCTTCTAGTACTGCAACTAGAAGAAAGACTACTGAAGAACCTGCAGAAGAACAAAGTATAAAAAAAATTAGAGTAAATATTAACAGTCCAGAAAAAAAATCTACCTATGTTTGGAGCTATTTTAAAGTTGAAAATAGCTATGCTATTTGTAAAATAATGAAATTATTGAAAGGTGTTGAGGTGGAATGTGGAACAAGTTATAAGTATGATAGTAGAACCAGTAATATGCAGTTCCATCTTCGAACAAAGCATAAAATTTTGGGCCCAAATGATATTGAAGTAAATCTGAACAAAAAATGCTAATTGCAAATAGACAAAATAGTTAGAAAAGTAGCTCCTCATAATAAAAAAATTCAAACAGAACTAAGAAAAATTACAGCAGAGTAGTTGGTTACAGACTCTTTGTCCTTCAATACTGTTCATGGAAAAGGTTATCAAAAAATGATAAATAGATTTGATCCAGCATTCAAACTCCCAAATAGTAAAAGTATGAAAAAAGAACTTACCATTGCTTAAAAAAAGTATAGAAGAATTAAAAGAATTACTTAAGAATATCTGTAAAATTGCATCAATCACCACTGACTTATGGATATCCAGAAATAATGAAGGATATATTGGTATGACTATCCATTGGCTAACTTCAGATTTCAAGATTTGTGATGTAATATTAGCTATAGAAAAAATGGACTATCCACATACTAGTGAAAGAATTAAAGAATATTTGAACCAAAAGGTTAAACAATTTGGATTAAATGGAAAAATAGTTTGTGCAGTCACTGACAATGGAATGAATATGAAAAAGGCTATTAGAATCTGGGATGGTGTAGAACATATTGCTTGCAGTGCTCATACTCTTCAACTTACAGTCATCCAGGCTCTGAAAGTCAGTATTGTATATTTTCAATGTCAGCTTTTTTTGGTTTGTTCATGTCGATGAGTGTCCATACATGTTTATATTTTAATTTAGTCTAAAAAGTTTATAATAAATACTTGATTAATATAGGTCTTTGCCTTAAAAATGACCTTATAGTACATAGTAATTACTATGTGCCATAAGACCATTTTCAAGACAAAGACCTATATGTAAAATTTGGTGTTTAAACCCTTTTCTTAAATCAAATTGCTATAATAAGATTTTGTTATTAATATTCTTTTTTTGTATACTATATTCATTTTGTTCATACCTGTCTATTAAACAATATTGTTAAGATCATAAAACCATATACTCGAAGGATTAATAAACTTATTAAATTTTTCAAATCATCAAAGCAAAGTCAGTATCTAGATTAAATGCAAATAGAATTAGCTTAATGTAGTAAGACCACTTTAACCCCTATTAAATTACATGATTCTGATGAAGATTCATCATCTGAAGTAGATAAATTTCACTATCTGAAGTAGAAAATATTAATAATGGTAAATTAGAAATATCTGAAGCAAATTTTAAAATTTTGCGTACTATAAGTGATGTAAAAACTAGGTAGAACTCTACATATAAATTCTGGAAAAGACTCTTAGTATTGCATCCAGCAATAGAATAGCTTTCCGCTACTCTATATTTAGGTAAAGGGAAGAATATTAATAAAGACTCTGCTAAATTAAACCACCTTATGCTCAATAATAATGAGTGGACATTGTTAGAAGAACTAGTAAATATGTTTAAACCATTTGATGAGTTAACAACTTATCTTAGTAGTATGCAATATGCTACTATTTCATCTGTCAATCCAACAATTGAAACACTAAAACTTGAATTTATCAAATATGATATATTGGATGAATCTGAAATTATATTTGAGAGTGAATCTAATATTGAAGGTAAATTTTTTTTCTTTTTTTCTTGCCTTTTCTTTCTTTTTTTTCTTTTTTTTCTCTTTATTTTTTACTTTTTTTTTTATTCTTTTTTTTTCTTTTTTTTTTTTTTCTTTTTTTTTTTTGCATATTAATTTAAATCAATACTCTTTAGATAAAATATCATCTGAAGATGAAGATTTTGAAGATAAAAGTTCAGATAATATGGATGCTCAATTGACTACGCATAAACAATTTCAAAGTATAACTCCAAATAAAAAAATAATTTCAAAAGTTGGAAGGACTATTTACAATTCTCTTGAACATTATTGGCATGACCTAGAATATACTAGATTAACTGCCATATTATTAGATCTGCAGTTTAAATTATCAAAAGTATAGTCAAATGAAACATGAAATAAGATAATTAGCAAGCTATGTACCGAATTCAAGACTTGGCAAAGTACAGTTCTAACTGATGATTCAGTTAAAGATACTAATATTGGAACACCTTCATCTACTCCAAACTTTCTAAGAAAAATATTTAGCTACAGTCAAAATCGAATAAACCATGAAATTGAAATAGATAATTACTTAAATGAAATGATTACTCCATCTCCATCTGGTAATACAGATGTTTATAATTGGTAGTATACTAACCAACACATCTTTCCAATATTAAGCAGGATGACACATAAATACCTTTCAATTCCTGCTACATCTATTCCAAGCGAATAGCTTTTTTCTAATACAGAAAATCAGATTACCCCCAAAAGGACCTGCCTATCACCTGAGACTATTAATGAATTACTATTTGTCAAGAGAAATAGCTTATATTGTAATAAGGCTTGGGCCTAAAAATTTTTTTTTTGCTTAATTTATATTAAATAAGAATGTCTAATAGAATAAATGTAATAAAATATTTATTTAGTATTAAGTTAAAATAGTCCATCTAAAATTGAAGTTACTCCCTTTTTTTTTATTCAGTAATATTAAAGTTTGATGAAAATTTTTTGTCATACTGCATATAAGTAGTATCAGTATTGATTACAATTTAACTTAATTAAAATTATCAAATATCAACCTTTATCTATATTAAGCAATAAAACAGTGAACAAAACCTTTCATATTTTTCAAAATCCACATGTGCCTAAAATGTAATATATCCGATATTAACGATAACCTTCTTTATTCTGTGAATTTACAAAAATTCTATGTTCTTTAACATTAATCCTAAGAATATTAATAAGGTTTAAGATAAAGACATTTTAGATACTTAAAAAATGAGTCTTATAAAACTTAATACTCATATTACTGTATTATTTTAAGAGCAATATCCAACTTGAAAAGTTTATTTTATTAAGTGATAATAGACTAGAACAGATCTGCCAGATTCAACGAATTAGAAAAAAAAACAAAAAAAGAACAAAAGAAGAGAATAAAGAAAGTACTAGAGTACTAAATAAATACAAAAATGCTGAAAATATGAATTATAGTAATAAAATTTATACAGTATAATACTTTATAAGAGCAAAAACTTGGAAAACTTGACAGAATGAGAGTAGTTTAAAGTTTTACTAGGGTAAAATTTATATCTGGATAAGGCTTTATCTGAATACATCGAGTAAAATTTTGTACCTGGATATATCCATTGATTATTCAGGTAACTTGCAAGTTTACCTATCAGGTTACCCAGATAACGATTTTTTGGTCAGATACAATCACTAATATGAATTCTAATTTACAAAAATAATCTAATGATTAGAATATTTATAAAACAATAAAGAATTAGCTTAATAAGATAGCTAGTTATATATAACTAATTATCTAGAGTTTTTATATTTTATCAAATTCTATTAATTGCTATAGTTAGCAAATTTTATATATGTAATTGTAAATTTTTTAATTATATTCAGATCTATATTAAGTGAATTCTATCTCTAAGTTTCAGTAGTATAATACAGATTTTTTCTTCTTGTTACTCATATATAGTATTCTATTATATTTGATTTTATTTTTTAATTAGTCAAAATTATATTATTATTTTTAGATAATATCTGTATTAATAATAATTATCTGAATGGTAGCTATTATATATACCCTTCAAATTTGTTAACCATACTCTTTAGTGATAAACAAATTATAGTTTTTTAAAATATCTTATATAAATATGAATTATATATATATTTTACATATAATATACAAGATAGGATTACATTATAGATTTTTTAAAATTATGCTAATATAGGCCAGCTGGCCTGAATTAGGATTATATTAAAAATCCTATGCAGAATTCAAAAAATTCTGTACATGCCTATCACTACATATTCTCTATAAAATTATAATTTTTTAAAACTTTAAATGAAGATATATTGATATCTACCTGACAAATTTGATAAAATTTTTTTTATTCTAATTCTAAATATTTATAGAATTTGAACAAAAAAATTTTCATCAAATTTGGTTTGTAGTTGCTGAGATATATTTGATCAAAGTCAGTAAACAGTTAAAAATGTCTATTAAAATTGAAGTAATCTAAAGTTTTAAAACTTTAAACAAAGATATCTTGACACCTATCTGACCAATTCTATGAATTTTTTTTTATTTTAATTCTACTATTTTATAGAATTCAAACAAAAAAATTTTTATCAAAATTTATCAGGTAAGTGTCAAGATATCTTTGCTCAAAGTTAATAAACAATTCAAAATATCTATTAACAATTGATGCTGCACCAAATTTTTTTAAAACTTTAAACAAAGATATCTCAGCATCTATCTGACAAAATTCAATCAAAATTTTTTTATCTTAATTATACAGATCTTGAAGAATTCATATAAAAAAACTTCATCAAATTTTGTTAGGTAGGTGCTAAGATATCTTTGTTCAAAGTTTTAAAAAAAATTTTAGTGCAACATTAATTTTTAATGACATTTTGAATTGTTTACTAACTTTGAACAAAGATATATTAACACCTAATTTCAATGAAAATTTTTTTATTTGAATTCTACAAAACTGTAGAATTAAAATAAAAATAAATTCATAGAATTTGGTTAGGTAGGTGTCGAGATATCTTTGTTCAAAGTTTTACAATTTTGGATTACTTCAATTTTGATAAGACTGTTTACTGACTTTGATTAAATATATCTTAGTAAATACCAAACCAAATTCGATGAAAATTTTTTTGTTCAAATTCTGCAGATATGTAGAATTAGAATAAAAAAAAATTCATTGAATTTGGTTAGGTATATGTCGATATATCTTTGTTCAAAATTTTAAAAAATTGTAATTTTACAAGAAGATATGGTTAACAAATTTAGAGGTATGTATAACAGCCACTATCTAAATAAATTATCTGTTAAATATGGCTATTATCTGTTATCTGTATGATCTGGATAATCCAGATATTAAGCTTAACAGATCTGAACACTAATTTTTGAAACACAGAAATGATTATAACATGACGTTTCTTTAAATATAATCAAATAATAGCAATACTGTTATTGGCTTTTTACATTAACTGTTTCAAACAAGTCCTGAATAAATTTCTTTGGAGTTTTATTCTGACTTGGTGAATATAATATTCTTTTATTCTTTGACTTAGTGAATATAATATTCTTTTAAAGTAAATTATCATATCTCTCTATATAACTTCTTGACTTGAATTCATTTTTAACTATTTCCATGTAATACATATTAAATCTTATTCATGAGAACAATAAGTTGACCCGTGAACTGAACTGTTGGTCAACCCGTGTTTGACATGGATTGACCTACGGGTCAACCCATGGGTCAACCCTGTTGGTGACCCACCTGTTTTTACCCGGGTTTCTACAACTCTAACCCGGGTTACCCACCCACCTACGGGTGACCCGGGTTGTACCCACCTGGGTACAATCACTAATTCCATCAATTTATTGCAGACTTCGCTCTTGAACCACATACAGTCAAACCTTGATAAAATCAACATCTTGGATCTGAACTATTTATTTATGCATACATTTTGAGAAAAATATCCTACATAGCTAAGGAATAGGAATTTTAAATTAACCCAATTCATTCCATGTAATCCTCAATAATTAATCGACTTGCTTTCCAAGCAACCATAGCTGTAGGTGCGTTCGTATTTCCACTTGGAATATATGGAAATATTGATGCATCAACAACTCGAAGGTTTTTCGTACCGTGAACTTGAAGTCGATGATTGACTACTCCACCTTTAGATTCCGGTGCCATTTTTACTGTTCCACACGCATGAGACGATGAAAATGACTGAACAAATAAGATAATAATAATATCTTTTTAAATGAAGAATATCTATTTATCATATCAGATATGGTGTGAGTAGGTTATACTCAACTATATGTTTTAATTTTTAAAATCTACTCGATGTAAAAGCAAAAATTCCAAAAGTAAACCTAAAACATGATATAAAGTATCAAGTTATCTGTTTACTATTTGAGTAGATAGCTTTTAAAAATTGAAACATATCTAATACTGCTGAGTATAACTTACTCGCACCATAATATAAAAGTATTTAATATTCGTTCGTATTATAAAAGTTCCTATGTACCTTATTTAGAATATACTTTTCCCAGTCTTCGTCACTCATATCAATATCGTTAGTACACCATTTTCCAAATTCATCATTAATTCCAATTTCTTTAACATTATAAACAGTACTTAATGGAGGTTGTTTAATTATTTCACGACATAATTTAAGTGAACTTATCATTCTATATAAATCATCGGCTTTTTCAAAATAGTTAAAATACATTTTTGGTTTATCAAATGGATTACTGCTATTAAGTTCTTAATAACCAACGCTAGATGGGACATTAAGAGCTGGCAATAAATTAATTCTATCAGTATTATTATATTTACTGGGAGAGCAGAACGGCGTCGCTATTTATATAATATTTAGTAAATAAATTAAAAAACAAAAATGGTTATAATAAATTCATGTTTATTACAGTAATTTAAACAACATACCAGTAATCTGACAATCTGGATTCTCGTCAAAAAAATTTTCCTTGCAAGGAATCTTTCCTTCAACGTTAGCTTTATGTATTATTACAATTTCGCCTCCACTACTCAAATGGTGAATTGAACCTTTAGTTGATTTTGCAGAAATACTACAACTCGGATGATCCATCAAATTCCTTCCAACTGGCAGTTCTCTACGTATTTTTATATTATTTGCTTCTAGATTTTCTTTTGGCCCAACTCCAGAAATCATTAAGATCTTTAAAAGAGTAAGTAAAGCTGTTTTACGATAACGTGTAAATTGCAATGACATTATATTTTTACCTGAGGGCTATTAAAAACACCACCACAAAGAATAACTTCACCTTTTGGAGCAACAAAAACCTCACGTATAATACCGTTGTAAAAATATCTTACACCAATTGCAATATTTTCTTTTTTATTCTCTTTGTCCCAAATAATATCTAATACGTGAGTATATGACCTAATATCTACGGCTGCAACTTTTCCAATATCATTAGATTCTAAACCTGGATGCAATTCAACTTTTTTTAATGCGTCTCTTAGATAGCTATCAACCAAAGAACATCTTTTCCCTTCCTTGCTTGTAAACTATATGCAATTCAATCAACATGTGCTACGTAATTTAGAAAAATTGGATGCAAATTTTAGATACCTGATATGTTCCAACACCATTCTGTCTCTCACCGTTAAAATCTTCATTATAAGGAATATCAAGGTTTTTCGCAGCATCAATTACACCTGACATAATATCTTGGATCCCGTCATGGCAGTCTTCCACGTGAAGTAAACCATTAAATCCATGAAATTTTTTAAAATTTTTATCCGATTTTTTTCGTGAATTATTTTCCATTGCTTTGAACACTGTTTTTTAAAAAATAAAAATAAAAATAAGAAAAATAAATAATAAAATAAAATAAAATAATAATAAAAATAAAAAATTGAAATAAAAACTTATACCTTCTAGACAATGATCCCAATCCCAAATTTTATATTCAGGACCTTGTGCTGCCCAATTATTATATTCTTTTGCTTGACCCCGCCTAAAATAAAATTAAATATATTAAAATATATAAATTCTACATAATTAGAATAGAAAATTTTAGATAAATTATATGATTCAAAAAACTTGCATGTAAACCATTGCATTTATGGAGCTGCATCCTCCCCAAACCTTTTCGCGTGGATAATGGATACCTTTTTTTATCATTTCTTTAGTAGGGTTTATATGACTTTGCATTTTTTGTTCCTCGGTAACATATCCCCAGTTATGGTCGTCTACAAGGAAAGCCTATACGCAAAAATAACACGAGCACAAAAGATAATGACTACCACGTGATTAAGAAAAAGGTGTTAACAGAAGGTGCTTACCGCTGTAGGCCAAGTACATGGCAAGCTGATTAAACCATTAGAATGAGCGTCAGGTCCTCCAGCTTCCAATACTAAGATGCTAATCTTAGGAATACAATAAATCAATTCTCTAGCAAGAACACATCCTGCAGTACCAGCTCCCACGATGATAAAATCGTAAATTTCTTTGGTTTCAAATTTTGTATGTTTATGATTGTCGCAAATTTTCTTAATCCAAAGTTCTCGGATTTCTACCTCCTCTTGGCTTTTTTCTTGACTCATACTTATTTTAAGTTAATAATTAAAAACGAAAAATTCAATTACTCAAGTTATATAATATTGTGGTTATTTAAATATTTCAATTAAAGCCGATAGAATTATCAAAAATAGCAAAATACTGCGGCGATTTAATAATTGTCGCGAAGCTGGAAATTTTAAATACTTTAAAATGAAATTTACAAAAAATTTTGGTATGCATTTTGTTCGATTTTTTTTTTATAGTTAGATTAGAATTTAGGGTTTATAATAAAAGAGTATAACTGGAGTTTAGCAGAGTTTATAGTTTAAATTGAGAAATGATAATTAACTAAAAAAGCTACAGTACAGGAATAAATACTTCAAGTTTGTCGTATTTTAGACCTGCATTGCTATTTTTATAAAATAAAATAAAAATCCAAAAGACTTCTTTTATATTATATGAAAACACCACACTTCTTCAGCCGAATGAATATATATAGTTTAAGTTGCAAAGTTGCAAAATGTAAATTGCTTAAAGCAAAATACTAATTTGAATAAAAATTATACTATTTTGGATAATTTTAACGCTCACCGGAGGTTAAATTCACCGATTATATGATTAACCAGTCAGATCGCAGGATTTAACGAAAACATAAAAAATCAAAAATCGTTAATATCCTAAATTTTACTTCGTATGTATCATCTATTAATATTATGAAAATCAGAATTATCGATAAGATAAAAGTTAGGATTGTCAATAGTTTGAAAATCAAGAAAGTAAATGCGAAAAATATACATTTTACATTAGTAGCCTTTAATTATTATTATTATTATTATTATTTTTTTTTTTTTTTTTTTTTTT